AACTTCTTCAGAGGTCACCCGAGTGGTCGTTTAATGTCCCATGAACACTGCTCACTAACGCGCGACTGAAATACTGTTCAAAAGAAATGTGATTTGAGAAAATGTAATTTTAGCTTATATACCAAATGGCTGATGCGCTGAAATATTGCCACAAAAAGAAAGTTATCCATCGTGACATAAAGCCAGAGAATCTGCTTCTGGGTCTATTTGGCGAGGTGAAGATAGCCGATTTTGGGTGGAGTGTGCATGCGCCAAATTCCAAGTCTCGTTTTCTTGCTATTTACCAGATGGAATTTTTTTGTACCAGTTGATTTTCAAGTCTTCAAAATTTGATTCATTTCAGGCGAAAAACGATATGTGGCACACTGGACTATATGTCACCTGAAATGGTGGAACGCCAGAGTCACGATGCTACGGTTACCATTGCTTATTAACCTCAAATTTTTCACTAGTTTAGATCGAAGCATTTTTCAATGGCTGCATTTTATTGTTTCTGTACCATATAGTAGAAAAATTTCTGTGAATCTTTTCGTTGGAAAGCTGTGTTAATTGTGCTGAAAAAACCCAGGCTCTCCGGTGCGACCATGCGTTTTTGCACTAAACTCGCAGATCGCTATTAGCATGAATGACCTCTACGCTGTAGCCTAACAGTTGGGCTATTATTGGCCGCGCTTTGATCCTTACCGGCACGCAGGAGAAAGGGCATCAGTTGGAGGTGGTGCACTATAGAGCCGCACGGACATCCAGGTGCATAATTACCGGTTTTTTGCATGAAATTCGGTCATTTTCTGGTAAATGCTCGCTTTGTGAAAAAACGACAAATGCAAATTTTTTGAAAAAATGCAAACTTCCAACTCACTAAAAAGTGGAAGTATTGCTTGAGCGGTCGTTTGTCAAAAATGCATGTTCACTTGCATATACAATTGCGGTTCAAGTCCGAGTTGCTGACAGTTTTTGGGTTCAGGAGCTGCTTGAGGCTATGGTTGGGGAGCTGGAGGGCTGAGTTTAAAATTTTTATCTCGCATGTGCATAGAGAATATCCCAGCAAAGTTTCAGCTTTCTACGTTGCCTGGTTCGCAAAATCGATTCCCGCCAACATATTTCTTTGGGGATCCCGTACGCGGGGTTTAGGCGCGTATGGGGAAATATCTTAAATCGGAAGGATGACACACGGTGTAGGAACATATATCCAAAGTTTCAGCCTCCCAGCTTCTCTGGTTGCTGAGATGAAAGTGGGTGACAAAACACACTTTTTCCGAACACACACACACACACACAGACAGCCTCTCGACAATATGCGTTTTTGCTGGCTGTAACTGCGCTATAGCGCTGC